TTGAATTGAATGTTCACTTGAGTTAAGAAAATATAGATTTTATATAAAGTTTGGAGTCTTTTGGCGAAGAAGTCAGTGAATGGAGTGTAGGGTTGGAGTGGATGTGAGGGTTGGAGACAATCCACCGATTCCTCGATTCTTGGGATACGAGTGATGAGTGAAGTGCAGTTGAGTGACAATTATATATATATATATCTGCGAGAGTAGTGTCCAAACACTTGTTGGGATCTCTCTCTCAATCACAATTGAAATGAGTGTCTGATTCGTATGGAGTCATACGTTATGATCCAATGTATGCCTCTCTGGGGCAGAGTTTCCGCACAATTGTCTCTTAGCTGGCGATAGAGATAGTGCTGTGACTGTGGAACGAAGGCATGAAAGGCATGTCATATCACCTGATGTTCAGTCATCTGCAGTCGTATCACATGTGAACCAACACTCGCAGAGCTGTGAGTCTGACGTCGAGAGAGACTCGCGTGAGATATCGCAACCAATCGGACACGACTCCCATCGACAGACTCCACACAACGCTCACCCCTTCCCAAAGGCATACACACATAGTTATATAGTAGACCTTAGCTATATGAGATGCCTGCTTATGTAACCATGCAATTACTCAGCCAGCTTATCTCAGTCTCCAAGCTATATAATTATATAACTATATATATAACCGGCTTATTTCTGTTGTCTAGCCCACAGTCAACTAATACTACCGTTCATACAGTTATTAAATATATTACACATTCCTCTGTTAATCACTTTTTCATTCCTATGTTTATTAATTGACTTTTATATGAATTATTTGTAAAACTTTAATTGTATTTATTATCTAAGCTTAGGTGCTTATTTTTATGAGCCATTTATTGTTTGAACATACTAGTAGATAGTGCAAAATATTGATTTTACTGACAATTGGTTAGTATGAGTACATATTCTTCAATGTTAAATGATATTAATTGCACACATGATAAGCACATGCATTACTAATAGCACCATATAGTTAACACGATTTTTATATACCGTTCAAATCATTGCCAATTGAGTGTTTAATCAACACATCTCTCAAAATAATCCTAATGTTATATATAATAATTTATCAACTTTTAAAAGTCTCTATTTATTCCTAATTTTATCGGATATTAAACACATCTGACGTTTTTGTCATTCAATCAAATCATTTGAATTGATTTGAAAATATTTTGCTTTACGAAAATTAGCCAATTCTTGATCATTGAAAAAATCAGACCACTTTGTATTGAATTCTGTGGAAAATGAGTGTAATATTTGAAGGTTTTCTCAGTTCACGTGAAGGTACACTAAAACTGGTTTTTTATTTATTGATTAATTACTTTAAGAATTGAGAATTGAATTTCAATTTAGATTAGATCCCATATTAAGATCTATTTTATTAATGTTTTATTTTAAAGGTTTATTTGGTTTTTAAAAATATTTTATGGTTATTAATATTATGGGTGAAAGTGAGTCAAAACAATATTGTCTGTATTGACATAATTTTTAATATTGTATTGATTTAAGAGTCTTAAAATTGTTTAAATTATGAGTTTTATTATTTTTTCTTGTATTTTATTGCAATTTTTAATTTAAAATGTTTACTAAACCTGTGTTAGAGTTTTTTTTAATATAAATATAGTAATCATCAGATCATTATGTATTTTAAAACATTTGTCTAACTATAGAATTAGACTAAATATTAAATTGTTATTATTCTGACGGTATTGTAGTTTTTATTTCAAAATAATATTTCCAAAATACACTATATATGACGTTAATTTAAAAATAAATTATATTATATTAATAGTGGTATCCGTTTGAAGCAAATTTATGTTTAATAGTGTTTTTGACGGTTTTCTGTCAGGAATTATGAGCGAAGAAAGAAAAATCCCAAATAGTTATCTCTATTTTCCTTTTAAATCTGCGTTTAAAGGTGGAAATCATTGAGATATTTAATAATATAATTAAAACAATCGTTCAGTACATAAGGTTTTAAAACAAAATATCCTTTAAAATATCCATTTTTGAATCCATTTATATCTTGAGAAATATGCAAAAAAACTGTTCTCGACATTTGGTTGCTAGTTAAATTACCATTTATTATTATTATATATTTCGTATAAGTATTTATTTACAATATAAACATATCTCATGTTTTAGTTATAATTAAAATTATATTTAATACGATATAAATATTATATCTAAATATTCAAAATATTTGTAATTTATAAATGTATTGAAAATTGCCAGACAATGAGTATTAAATGAAATAAAATTTCACTTGTAAAAAATACTAAAAAGCATTTGTTTGCTTTTAAAAACTACATGAAATGTCAAAATTATTGATTTTTGTTTTAAAATTAGAAAATACTCTATAAACTTAAAAAAAGTAAAATAATTATTTTCGACAATCACAGAATTTGATTAAATATTAAGTCATGTAAAGGCACTTCTGTCTGAATAGATATTGTAAAAGAGATGTGTGTTTATTGGCATTAAATGTGTGGCAAATGTATGCAAAACTAGAATAATACGGAAATATCTGACTTCGGGTCCGGCGATCTTGGACTCCAATCCGTTGAATGACAGGGAAGTAAATGGAGGCCGCAGTCGATGTCGAGCCCGCGACTAGTCGTCGCCGGTATATAACACATGCGTTGAGTGAACCAGAACTGAGAGTACAGGTCGTGAATCCAAGTGAGCAAATGGTCGCCCGATTTGCGCGAATTCTTGATCCCATTAGTGGTGTCCACACTATTCTTTAAGCCCAGAAACATCTCGATTGCACTGAAGTTGTGTGACGTGTAGGTGCGCTGAGGGCCGCTGTGTAAGTGTTTGGCGTAATCTTTATTGACTTTAGTCTTGTTGTGGAAGAGGAGGGGAGTGACCAAAAACTTATGCTCTGCGATGACTATCCATTTGTGGAGAACAATGAGTCGCCAAACGCCGGGCCGTAACGGAGTGTTGAGTTGCGGGCGTTGAAGCAATGGCTGATCGGATGTGGCGTTCGCCTCGACCTTCACTTCATAGGACGCGGCGACGGTGTTGATGGGGTCGACCCATACGAATGTGGTGCCTAACGGCTCGCCCTTCAGGTGTTGCCATTTATGCATAGCTACCGGTTGGGCAAATGGGCCCAAAATGCAGCCAAAGTTGCGGAATATTAACTCTTTGACGTCAAAGTCGGAACAGACCTAAACATCAGGTAATATTGTGGTTATAGTATTTGTTATAACAATATTTTTAATTTTCAAGCAAGGTACAAATGTACAAACCTGTACGAACGTAAGTTTGTCTGATAACTTATTGATGGTATTGTCTAATATATCTGTCGGACGGACGAGTGTTTGGAAGTTGAGTATAGAATTAATTTCATTGTTCACCAAAGACTGAAAAGTAATTATTATGCCCTCAAAGACATCGCTATTGAAGTATAGATCCACTTCTTGGACGTGACTTAAGTGAAACGTTTTTGAGCGTTTAGTTTGACTAAAAATATCCTTTAAATGGCATTTATTTTCTATTGCTTTCTGACTATTGACGGCAAACGCATAATAAAAAGTGAGTTTCGCGTCGTCGATGACGGGCTGACTATCCCTGAAATCGTAATCGTTTTGCCAATACTTGTCCACCGATTTCGCGGAGTGACTAAAATTTTTATTAATTATTTCCTCTAATCTATTGATAATGTTTTGGTTGACTATTGCTTCGAATTTTCTGCCGAAGAATAATGGCTTGGATTGAGTGGAGAGAAGGCGCGGCCAGTCGTTGGTCTTGAAGTCGTTGGGCGAACAGCCGCACCAGTCGACGATGTGTTTGTACTGACACTTACAGCCCTGTTTGCGGCGCCAATTGGTTAGCCGCAGGTTATTATCGACGATTGTGTCACAGAATTCACTGTTTTGTAGGACAGTGTGGAAGAAGGACTGAATGAAGACAATGAAAAACACAAATTTAGTCTCATTTTATGATGCAATTTAACAATTAGTTCATCAATACCTCTGCGGGCAATAGCGTGTATTTAAACACTTGTTTCAGTCCTCGCAACAGTTCATTGTCTTCGTAAGTGATGTAATGACAGAACTCACGACTCAATACAACCCAATCGCTGCCCCCATCCCAACGGATGCCTACCAATAGAGATCATTACGAAATGAATTGATAACTAAATAGAAGTATTCAATGAATAATACCTTTCGGTAATTGCCGGTCGGCTACTCTCCACATATGAGTATCGCATTCATAGAAAGTCTTGTCGAGACCTTGTTTGGTAATAAATCGCTGCGAGTCCTGTCCGTGAGATTTAACAAAGTTTTTGCCACGATTTGCGAGCAGAAAGTTTTCCAACTCATGTACTGGTCTTTAATGTGATAGAAAAATATGTTTCATTAATGACATGTCGATTAAAATAACAGTCAAATGACTGACTTTAATGGAAAATCAGATTCGCTGATATTGATGAGGAAGTCCCAAGAATTTGGCCAAACATTGGTTTCAAATATTTGCTGAATAGAGTTGAGTAGCATTTGAAGGAGACTAGCGCCGCCCCATATGGTCGACAAACGGACCCGGCTCACCCTTACATTCGCTAATTTGGACTCTAATTTAATTAATTCGCGAAACAAGTAGTCCTGACGCTAAATATTATCAAAACAAACTATTTATTGTATTATATTTCAGAAATAATTAAATTTAAAACACTTACAGAATCGATATGAATATAATAGAAGTGCTTTGAATCGTAAATATTCTTAAGTAATCGGTTTATTTGTCGAAGTGATCGACCATTTAATGTCAGTAGGAATACAATTCTCACGTCATTCCGATCGACTGGTATTGTCACCAAACTTGGCATTACTTTTGGTCGGTCTGTAGTCAATAATAATAATAATTTACTTCAATAAATATTCATTCAATTGGAATCATAGAAATATTAAGCAAGTTAAAATAGTAAGAATTTAGAGAATAGCATATTATTAAGAATTTATTAGTAATAGAAAGAAAAGTTAGTTTTGGTGTCAGATTTGAAGTCCGAGTTGTGTTTATTGCTTACATTGGAGTCCAGTCTTATAGATATCAACGGCATAATAACCGCCACATAATAGGTGGTGAGCACCAGAACACGACATATTGCAGTGATTTGATGTCAATTCATATCTTCTGTCTGACAACTCGTACCCACAAAAGCATTCATTACTAAACTCTAGACCGGCATAAGTATAGCCCGATTGAAGGCAAACATTCAGACATTTATTGGGACTGTTGTCTGAGAATTTAGTTTTGTATCCATTCAATAGCCGCGGTTTATTCCTATCCCAATAACAGCCCACATAATCACCAAAATTCCCATCTTTTTTCAATTCATTTCATAATTGATAAACAATTTAAATAAAAAATAATGCAAAACATAATAAAACCCAAAAAAGTAAAAATATTATTAATAATAAAATAACAAATAGAAACTATTTAAATAAATATATTTTAATATAACAAACCTTTGAGAGGACAAAATCTTGGAAGTGATTGTGGGTAGAGTTGGTCAGTGAGTGTCAAACATGTAATGTCTGCTAATTTTTGTTTGCATTGAGTGGTGACCGCCCTCTCAACCGCCGAAATGCCATATTTGCCACTTTTGGCGCTTATATTACACGAAGTCTTGCTTTTAAACTCATTAATCTCTTGCGGAAACTAGTTTAGATTATTTGAGATTGGTCATTTCAGTTGTATTTGTTAGTGAATTCATTTTAATAAAAACCTTTAAGTAGTGATCACTAAGCGTAGTATCTCTTGACTTAGAGTCCAGTGAATTACTGAATGAGATATTGTTATCGGAGTCATAATCACCGATCGATTGGTCCGCTTTGTCCTAACATTTCAGATAAAAATATCTTAAATATTCATTTTTGGTACAAATCTATCAAAACTTACGCCAATTTTCTTAGGCTTTGCAACCGAATTGAATTGACTCTGAATTTGTGATTCAATGCTTGAGTTGTTTGATGAGTAGAAAGTGATGCTAAGTATTAATTGTATGATAAGTATTATGATAGACATTAAGATGTATATCCAATAGCGCCGAAAAAGTCGACATTTGGTCACTGAATATATGATATGTTTTATGCAAATCATTGGATTTATTAATATATTTATTGCGAATGACATCAACATTACTGTCGTTACGAGTGTAATCACATTATTAGATAAAATATTAGCTAGCACATTTTCGCCACCCTACTACAACAATGATTGTACTCATTTTTGGCCATTAATTTCAAGTTTATGGCACTTTCCGTAAAATAATCTGGGAAAATTAGTTGTATTTCACATAATACTTGTCTAATTGTCTCGGTGTTTGCCATCAATTTATTAATTTTTGATGAAATGATAGTATAGTTGTTGTGATAAACAGATGAGATGTTTATATTGAATACTACAATGAAGTCATAGTAATAGAGGTCTGAATGAATGCATTCACTTCACTCTCACATCACTTTCAGACTCACATCAGAGACTCGTTTTTCCATGTATTCAATGAATACTATTCATGTATTCCTGTTTTCCATTCATTCATTCACTCATTCGTTACATTTCTGTCAATTTGTTATCACATAAAAATTGATTGCTTAGAAATAATATTGAAACTATCAACACAAATATAGGAGTTGTCATATAAGTTTTGATAAAAACTTATTATCTAAATAACACATGTACTGTACATGTATTCTTTGTTATTCTTATTGTTATAATAATCACAAATGAGAATATTATATCATTTCATAAGTAAAACTTTTAAGCAAATTTCAGAAAACATATTAAAATCTGATTGTTTACTTTAAACAAATTTGTCCTACTTAATTTAGACATTATTGTAGATATTAGACCTGGGGCATATGATTGAAATTGGCTTAAATCAACATTTTAATATGTATAATGCATCTTTATTTTACGGTTATGTCTAATAAAACAGGTTATTTTTCTAAAAGTTCTCATTTTCAATAAGTTTGTAACTATTCACACTTATACGGTACTAATATTTTTAAAATTCAATTTATTACTGATATATAATGGATTATTTATTTAAATATCTGTTTAATTCCCAATTTCTTAGAATTAATTTAATGAATATTAAAATTATTAAAAAATATATTTCATTGAATTTATACTTATATTAATATGTAATTATTATTAGTTATTTTCCGATAAGTGTTTTGAAAAACAGATTTAAGTGTTTAAGTTATTCTTCGGCCTTGTTTTGAGTCCTAAAATATGACTTCAAAACCAGTTTCTCAAAGAACTGAAGACCTCTTGACTCAAAGAACATATAAAATCATTTCATTTGTGAAAATCCTGTCAGCGATACTCACATCTCAACATTAATTGCACCCAAATTTGAAACATTTTATGTCTTCTCACATATTGATTAGAAAATGAATGAATTTCTAAAATTCAAATTCAAACAAACATTGTCTCAAATGTGGAAATCTTTAAGATTTAGGAGGAATTTCATACTAATAACTGTTTTCATTGTGTTTTGTGTTTTATATGTCTTATACGAGTCATCGGTTTCGCGGCCCCACAGCCAAAGTGTGTCGAGTCATGAAACTCATCCACAAAAGAGACATCATTTCAATGGAAGTCTGTTTCACATATCACTCGAAAACCTAATACAGAGGCCAGTGATCATCAATACTTCACGCGTGACCACAATCTCGGCCAAAGAGTTGACAACGATATTGGAAAGTCAAAAGATTTTATCCTTTCAGGTAATTATCGACTCAATTAGTCCATACTTTTCAATTCATATTATTATTTATTTATAATTAATATTAGAAATCGAGTGAAAAGTGTTTGCATAACGAGACACAATCGGAGCGCAAGAAACGGGTTCAATATTATTGCCAAAAGTTTGGATTAAGACATAAGATTGTGTCGATTTGGAGGAAATCCACGAATAATATGAAAGGAAAGCACAGATACTGTACGACCAAGAATTGTCCCGTTTTGGTGGACCACAAGCACAGGTTTATGTCGTGTTTCGTACAAAAAGTTGCCTCAACTTCCATGAAGACATTCTTCAACATATTAAGTGATAATCCGTTGAACACGAGCGTCAATACAAACAATACTGTCTTTCATTTCACCGCAAACGACGTGTTGCCCAGAATTAGTCCAATGTTTTATAGCACTAAACAAAACAAATTGTTTTACAAAACCCTTTTCGTGAGACACCCCTTCTTCCGACTCGTCTCTGCCTTCAAAGACAAGGCCGAGAAAAGTCGATCGCAAGAGCCGTACTTTTATGCCAAATATTGGGATCATATTATGGTTAGCGAAAGGGGCGCACAAAATGTGAACAATGATTCAAAACCTATTTTTAAAGAGTTTGTAAAACTCTTGGTAACCACCAGTCCGTACCAATACGATGAGCATTGGGCGCCGGTATGGACCCGTTGCGAGCCCTGTTATGTTGAGTATGATTTCATTGGCAAACTTGAAACCAGTGAAAGAGATTTCCGATTCATTGCCAATAAATACAAAATAAATGAAACCATTTGGGAAAACAAGAACTCCATTCATATCAATAAGAGTGAAGTGAAAAAATATTTGCTTCAAATCAACGCCGAAGATATCATAGAGTTGTATAAAATATATTTTCTAGATTTCAAACTTTTTGGTTACACTATTGAGGAGATATTTACTTAATGTTAATGCTTTGTTATATTTAAATAAATTCTATTGAAATTTATTGTTAAATATTTGCACTTTTATTGTAAATACTCGTTCATCCAATTAATTCATTTATTAAAAACAATGAGTTTATGTGTAAACATTAAAATTATAACAAATTAATAAAATTCATATCCAATGAGCAATTTGTATAATTATTTTCTCAATTTTTATAAAATTAGGGCTCTTTTTAGATATAGAAAGTGATTCCTAAATGATAGCACTATTATTGAATAATTTAGTTGTAAAATCATTACAATTTTAAATTTCTAATACATTTATAAAATACTTTTCGATCAACTTTCGACCTAATTAATTAGTAATTCAGTAAAATATTTTTCATTAATACAAGACTTTGTACGCTTAAAGAATTTACTAAAAAATACAGACATTATTATTGCCTAGAATTTAATATATTCATGATCGTTTGTTATTTGCTGTCAATTTTAATAATAAATCAAATGTAAAAATGCAATTCTTTTATAAAAAGGAATTGTTTTTAAAAATATTCCCAAAGAATAGACATATAAATAATATTCAAAAACTAAAATCAAATAATAATACAAAAGTCTGTCAAACTTATGGCATAAAAATTAAATTCAAAGTATAAAGCCGTGACATAAAAAAGGATTTGTTTAAAACATTATCGCTTTTGAATTACTGGTAATTTCTAGGAAAAAAAGCTTATGACAGATACTGTAACACATAATGAGATATTCAATCAAAAATTAACGCAAATTTCAATCACCGGTAGACAGAGATGGAAGTGTAGCTAATTTGGTATTCACTTCGTCCACTATTTTGTCAACCCTTTCGGACAAACCCTTAAATTTGTTGAGGTCTGGGCCCAGCATTTTGACCAGCGCTGGCACGTCGTTATAGCTGATCGCCATAAACCGGGAAATGGATATCAAACACATGTAGGCTATGGAATGGGGGGAGAATTATACAAAAAAAAGTTAATCAATGAATGCAAACATAATGCCTGCAAATGATTGATACCTTGATCTTCGGGGAGATCTCCGTGAAGGAACTGGAGGACAGCAGTGGCCAGTTCTGTAGCCGTGTCTTCAAACAGCTCTTTAAGCGCCAAATTGTATATCAAAGAGACGCCCGTCTTCTGCAGAGTCGTGAGTTTGTCGTTGAGAACGGTGTGAACGGCAGCTCTGGTGGTAGTCCTACTATTGCTGGATTGCTGGCCGTCAGCCTCAGCCCATTCGCTGATATATAGGAGCCAATCAAAGGTCGAGGGCTGACCGCAAAGATTGCACAACAGTTTGGCCGTCTCTTCCTGTTCGGCTAAAGTCAATGACTCGATTCGGTTGATATAACTCATGACCCGATGGTCTTTGCGGTCCTGATGTAAGACCAGCACAATATCGTCCTTAAGAGAGGCCGCTTGAAGCACTTCCAGCACCAGAAGCGGAACATTGGGCGCAAACTTGCCGTCACCACCGCTTATCAATGGATTAATTCATTAGATTAATTGATTATCAATTAGCAAACAATCAATTTAATTGTCTCACGAGCTTGTTATAAACATACGGTGATAAATACCTGAGCAGTAAGGAAATAAAGTCCAGGTGCTCCTCGCCGAGAGCCCAGGCACCGCTCTCCGACACTAGGTATTCGCCCAATTCTTTCAGATACAGGTGCTGTTCGTTACTTATCTGATCCGACAGTAATTCTGTTAATTTCTTAATAGCGGTGACGCCCTGTGGACCGAGTATTTGTGTCATATTTTTTATACTCAACTCATGTTATGATTTAGCGATAAAAACAATAATTGAAAAGAAAGAGAAACAACACATACGTCGACGTCTTTGAAGACGACGGGCGGGTCGTCGTACTTATAGGAGCGCCGGACGGCTTTCGTTTCGACGTCGCCTTTCAGCTCTTGAGTCTCGTTGGCGTCACCCGTATCGGCGGTCTCGTTGTCGGCCATATTGAGGTCGCGAGTAGTAATTTGTGGCTTTTGTTGCGTCTGTGGTGCGGATGTAGTCACTAATGGCTGACTTTGAGGTACGCTTTCCGTTGGCGTCGATTCTCTGGCATGAATTGAGCGACTATTGTGTTGATGGCTGAGTGGCGACTGGATGTGTCGGGGCTCGGATGTGCTGCTGAACGATACGCCACTACCTTCTGGCCGTATACTCAATGAATTCAAGTAAAGTTTCAACGTTTGCCCGATAGGTCTGCGGAGACGACAAGTATTTGTGACTTAAAGTTAGGCAGAATTGTAGAGCAATTACAGTGAGAACTAAGCGTAAGAATTGGCAACTCTTTGCCCTATAAAGAGCTACAGAGGAGTGTAATCCGAGTCAATAGTGAAGCGAAAAAGTTATTAATAGATTTACATAATGTCTTCTACTCTCTGAAGAAATTTTTGCTTCAAATAATCACTTCATGAATAGAGAGACAACTTCTCGCAGTAAACCGTAAATTCTGGGATTTGTTGGGAAAAACAATTTTGGGGACTACTTGTACTCAATACTACATAGTCTTCGTTATTATTGAGAAACTTTTGAAAAACTCTTTTCTCAAATCAATTCAATAGTAAAGTTGTATTCTTTAAAAATCGCAAAACTATTATTAAAAATGTCACCAATCACAACCTTCATAAGTATTCCGGGTGCATATTCCACAAAATAAGTCTAAATTTATACTTGCTAATTATTCGGATCAGTTTATAAAATGATGTTTTTTAAAAAGTTTTCGAAAACAACTACTAAATTGTAAATAAATCTCAAAGGTTTTGGTTTAAATAAAGAAGTTCACTGTTTAGTAGAGTTATACTGACATAACAGTAGTACAGTAGTTATTTTTACAGTGAAATGCCTATTATTGTAAAGCACTTCTAAATAAATATTAGATTTTTATCAAAAAATTTCTATTAAAATCGTTTCGATGAATACAATTAAATTTAATATTAATTTTCAAGCTTTAATACATCCCGTAAAAGGCTAATAGCAATAAAAGTTATAAAACTACAAAATAGGAATTAATAAATCAAAAATTATATATAACTTTATATCATATTTAATGTATTTATCGGATCACACGAATGACTTGACAACAAAAATAGCTTTTTTAAATAGCAATAAAAGTTATAAAACTACAAAATAGGAATTAATAAATCAAAAATTATATATAACTTTATATCATATTTAATGTATTTATCGGATCACACGAATGACTTGACAACAAAAATAGCTTTTTTTAACAAAGTTTTCTATTTTTACATCAAATGCTCTAAAAGTGAATCACAGCACAAATATTTACATTATTTAATGCCAGCATATGTTGCCGGGAGGGCTGAGGGTGAGGGGGGTAGGGCTTTGCATTGCAATTTGACTCTTAAATATGTTTATCGTTTATAATTTAAAATCTGAAATCTTGTGCAAACATAATATGGTTCAATGAAAACATTTTTTTAAGAATAAATTTTAATCAAATTAAAGTTTTTACGATAACTTATTATTTAGCCCATACAGTAAGTTATTATATATTATAGAGATAACCAGTATAGTTTTATCTAATATGTAAGTGTATTCTCTTATTAACTCATTTATCATTAATTAGTAACTCTTTTAAAGTGATCACAATCTCTGTATCCTAGGAATACAGTACAATGAGTGCACAAATTGTATTCATATTTTAGTGCAAATATAGTGCAAGCACACTTATTACAGTGTACGCTGTAAAGGTACTGTATAAGTTTTTATAATACCGTAAGTTATTTAAGTTTTCATGTTTCGTAGGGCACCGGTGTTTACTTAAAAAGTGATGTATTGTTCGCACAAAATAATTCATTATATTCTTACAATGTGTTAGAAATAGTTGTTTCAAACTATTTTCACCCAAAAATTCAAAAGCTTATGAGTGAAACAAATGTTGTAAAAATGAAATGTCAAATAGTTTACAAAATAACTATACAGTATATATTAGCATTTAAACTTTAAATTTTAAAGCGAGTAAACATTGAGATTATTCTTATAAACACTTATCAGATGTAAAAATGTTAAAAAATCAATTTCTAAACTCTCATAAAAAATGCATTTAATTTCAATGCCATTAAATTTTTCGCGTTTACGGAAAAAATATAATAATCAAAACAATTGCGAGGAATAAATATAAACGAAATAAACACTAAATTAAAGGAAAACTATAAATAGTTTTTGGAAAAAGTTTTTTTTGTGCACAACTTATGCTCCAAATGCGAGCGTTTTGAACAAAAAATAAGGAAAATGTTAAATAAAATCTTGGATTTGAGTCAATAGTTATCAACAACTATTTAATGAGTTTTTTGTGCATTTAATTAAACTCACGTATTGAGCACTTCTGATGGTAAGTCAAGGATCTCTTGAGGAACAGGTCTTCCGGTGAGGAATAGAGACAATTCGTTACTAAAGTTATTGCAGTTGTGTTCCATTAAGTTATAGGTTCCGGGTCTGCAAATCAGTCGCCATTAATGAGTCAATGAATCGACGCTTTTATAGGCAAACACTTACGCGAAGGTCGAGTCGCCCAAAGAGGACAAGTACTCGAGGAATAGGCTGTAAGGCAACTGACATTTGCCCAGCTTTAGCATCTGATCCGGTTCGCCGAGAATGGTCTCACCCTTAAGACATAGCACTGGTCAGCGATATTATCAATGAATTGGTCACGAAGTGAGTCAATTGTTTACCGCATTACAGCTCTGAATACCACACGAGCCGAAGAAGTACTCCCTCTCGTAGGCGATGACACTCGTGTGCCAAATGCCCGGAAGCTCTTTACCTGCGAAATGGGGGATCAGTTAGCCATCGATGACTCCGGCGAGCGGTGTATTCATACCTAAAAACATCTGCGAAAACGCTTTGGCCATCCCTTTGGACATGTCGTAGATGTAGAGGAAAACTTCAGATGAGGTGACGTTTAGATCCAAGTCGGCGGACATCGCGATCACTTGACGACTGCACCACAAACTCAACGATTATTACGTGATTTACACAACAATTATAGATAAAGCACTGGATTTACGGCCAAAATAAATAACTTATAAACAAAACTAAAACTTGTTGTTCACGTGGGGTTTGTGTGTCAACTCATGAGTGGCGTGGATGTGGTTGTGGTGACAATCGCCCGAAGAGGTGAAACAAATGGTTTGTTTGTTTGACTCAAACTTTCAAATCATTGGCAAAAAAGTGTTTGCGATTTAAATGCAATGAGAAATACACACAACAAATGCAAAGTCATGTCATTGTGTGCGACACGTGCTGTGATCTCGCGGGTGTTACTCACAAGTATTTACACCTACTTTAGCCAATCATAAATACTGTTACTGTTAATCGCGCTTTTATTGGCCCCTATGAATCACTATGAGTGCGATTACATGTAAACCCTATGCCGGCGGACGCCGTAGTATCCGAACTGAACCCCATAATAGCGCGAACAGTGTCTATGAGTCGCACCCATATTGACATTTAACGAGTGACTCATTGAACGCTAATAAATGGCATTAATTTGTAATCTCTTTAGTGATTGCATTGAAGGCATCCAACGATAAGTGAAACAACAGTCAGATCTGCGTCAACAACACGAGCACTGAATCAGTCGTCTATTGTCTCTCGTATTGATTGTCTGTTTGTTTGCATTCATTGCCATTCAAGTGAACACTAAAGCGATGTTTAAATCCGCAAATTTCGACAAATTATTGGGTAATCCATTGAGTGGTGGTATTGATTGGGATCTAATGATTGTGATGTTGACCACAGACAGGGCCACGAGTCTCACCAATTTGGAGCCGGACTGGAACGCCATCCTCCAGATCTGCGACACCATCCGACAGAATGACGTCCAGTTGAGTGTCACCACCACTACTACTTCCCGTGCCATTCATTGTCTCGCCATCACTGACACCAAGCAATTGTCTCATTTCATTTCAGACCCAAGTATGCCGTGAACGCCATTAAGAAGAAGTTGTACGCAACGAATCCTAACGTCGAGCTCCTCGCCCTTCAGGTACCGTACCATCGATTGTAGTGATCCGTGAGATCAATGTCCGGGTGATGTGTCTGTCACTCACTGATTGTGTCATCCACTACTCGACGGGACAGGTGTTGGAGTCGTGTGTGAAGAACTGCGGCACCACTTTCCACGTGGAGGTGACGAGCAAAGCCTTTATGGAGGAGTTGAGGGATATCGTGAAGATGTCATCGGACACGAAGGTGAGGGACGAGGTGTTGAAACTGATTCAGGTGTGGGCGCACGCCTTCCGCAACGACCCGACCCATCGCGCGGTCGCCGACACCGTGAACCTCATGAAGATCGAGGGCTATAAGTTCCCGGTGCTGAAGGAGTCGGACGCCATGTTCGCCGCGGACTCGGCGCCCGATTGGGCCGACGGCGAGTGCTGTAACCGATGCCGCACTCAGTTCTCGTTGGTTCAGCGCAAACATCACTGCCGTAATTGCGGACAAATCTTCTGCCAGAAGTGTTCGGCGAAGATATCGACGATTCCGAAGTACGGCATCGAGAAGGAGGTCCGGGTGTGCGACGACTGTTACGACAAATTGAATAAATCGGGGAAACCGGCGGCCGATCAGACGGCGGTTAAGGGGGTGTCCGGCGGTTCGTCGGCCGAGTCGTCGCCGTATAGCGGAGTGAAAGCCAAGTCCGAGAATCCAAACCAGAAAAGCGAGCGCGAGATCCAAGAGGAAGAGGAGCTTCAGTTGGCGCTGGCGTTGAGTCAGTCGGAGGCCGAGTCCAAAGAGCAGGAGAAGAGGCGCCGTTCGCTGTCGGCGACCACTCCATACAATTACGAGTTCACGGGACTGGGAGGCAATACGCCCGCACCGAAGCCCTCGAGTCTCAAAACGAGCGCTTCGCCCAAAAAGCTGGAGAAGTCGGTGTCGAACCCCGAAGTGAGTGATCCCGAGCTGTCCCGGTATCTCAACCGCGACTATTGGGAGTCGAGAGTCAACTATAATATGGACGACTTGGAGGCCATTAGGCCGACGCCGAGCGCTCCGCAACCGCAGCCCATATTAAACCTGAAGCGCGTGAATATGACGGCAAACATGAGTCCCGACGTAAGCAAACCGAAAGAGAAGATGGAGAACGGGATTGAGAGCGAAATGGAGTCGTTCCTCATTTCGCTGAAGTCGGCGATCGAGATATTCGTGAACCGAATCAATTCCAATCAACTGAGAGGCCGGCCCATCGCCAATGACAGCGCCGTTCAGTCGCTATTCATGAACATAACGAATATGCACTCGAGTTTGTTGGGGTATATCCAGCAACAGGACGACTCGCGCGCCCACTTCGAGGGCCTTCAGGACAAGTTGGGACAGATCCGGGACGCGAGGGCCGCGTTGGACGCGCTGCGCGAGGAGCATAGGGAGCAGATGCGCCGGGAGGCCGAGGAGGCGGAACTCCTGCGACAGCAACAGATGGCGCAGAAGTTGGATATCATGCGGAAGAAGAAACAGGAGTACCTTCAGTACCAGCGAGAGATCGCATTGCAGCGGATGCAGGAACAGGAGAGGGAAATGATGTTACGACAGGAGCAGCAGAAGTATATGTGGCAACACCAGCAGCCGGTGCCCCAATCCATTCCGCAACAAACGCAAGTCCATCAACCAGTTCCACAACAGGCACCGCCGCCACCACAGCAGCAACAGGTCTGGCCGTCGGTGCCAACGGGACAACCCGTCACTTCGAGTTACGGCCCGTACCCGACCACCGGAGCTCCCGTCACTACCGCTCCCGTGGGTGTACACTATGGCGTCATTCAAACCAATGCTGCGCCCAATCCGCAGATGTACGGACAGCCGACACCACATGCCGTGCAATATCCGCCGCAACCACTGGCCCAACAGCAGCCACCGCCGCATTCACCACATGCCGGTGCGATACCACCGCCTCAGCCAAACCTAAACGCGTACGACATGCAACGGATGACCAATGCTTTGCCGCAGCAAATGCAGGGCCCGGTTATGGCGCCTCCACCCGCTCTGCCGCCACAACAGCAACCGATGCATAGCCCGACCCCTCAGCCACAACCAGTTCCTGAGGCGCCGCTAATATCTTTCGATTAGTTTCTATTCTTACGGTATTGTCTCCGATATTATTATTATTATTATTTGTATTTTTCAAAGTAATCTCTATTTAAATGGAATTTTCTTATCAGTAAAACTTTAAAAACGGATACTTTTTATTATATATTACGTTTAGATTTCAATTAAAATATATATAAAAAAGAAAAACACAAATATAGACATCATTTGAAAGTGTTGAGAGTTTCTTGAAACTGAGAAATGGATTTGTTTAGAGACAAACAGAACCCGTGAGAGGCAGGCAATAGGGGAAACGGAGGTAAGACGGCGTCGAGACTCACGCCCTGACACGCGGACAACTGTTCACTGGTTGTGATTGACTGCGAAATACACATCTGCGAGACGTCGGCCCAATTGCGGTGCCTTCCGATGAATTGGTCGCCAATGGCGACGATATGTTCGCGGATTTGTTTGTCGAAAGCCTTGTGAGGTGTGGCCAGCATTTTGGTCACCGACTGAATCAGTTTAATGACGACCATCTCGTTGTAGAGGCGACTGTTCTCGGAGGCGATGGTAGTGCCCCTCTGTTTGTGATATCCGGCCTCGTTATAGTAGGGCTCGTCCACCAGAATGAGGCCCTGTATGGAGACAATCACTTGCAACAGATTGGAACCGTTCGGTGACCACACTTCGGTCCCTTTGCCACTCCACGTGCCCAACAAACTGACGCACACTTTGCCACTTTCGTACAGATTTGGGTTCAGTCTATCGGAACAGTAGGAGATATAGTGAACCAGTGGCGGACCGTTCGGGTAATTGGCCGGCAGTTGGATGTCGAACAGGAAGAGGCCGTCCTCGTAGGGCGTGCCCTTTGGCCCGTAGATCATCACCGACAGCAGATCCATTCGGTCGTGAAATAGAGCCACAGCTATGCCTTCCGGTAGGGAACTCCTCAGCAAAGAGATCTCATACTTAATCCGCTTTAAGAATTCCTTTGAATTCTTGGGTTCGACCGTTGAATACAGATATTTATGATTTTCGGGAACTCTATCTAAAAATATCACATTTCCTTTCATTTCGGCTAAATTGCTGTCGGAATCCACACTCTCTTTAGATTCCTCACTATTGACAGGCTTTTGGTCCGCGATCTCTGCCGCCATGTCTTCGTTGTTCTTGATTTTGGTCTTCAAGTCGTCGATCATTTCGAGCAATGAATTGATGTTTTGGTCGGAACTCGAGGACGCCTTTTGGCTGTCGTTCAGAGAACTCTTTCCACTGTTGGACTCATTACTCATTTCCACGATTCCGCTGTCGATAGTCACGCAGTCGTTGTTGTGAGGGTTGGGAGGGCCGGCGGTTGACTGTTGAGCGCCCGGACTCCACGACCCGAAGTGTTGAAGCAATCGTTTAGACATCTGAAGCACTTTATTCGAGTAATTGTTTAGTTCTTTTTGTGGCAAATCGTTCCTCTGATCCGATTCTGATCTGTGATCCGATTCCGGCTTTTTAATCAATTTTAACGGGTTTTGCAGACCGTTTCGTCCGTTTTTGAGCCATTCCTCCAGATGTGAGGCACCGGTTTGTATCATATTTAGTAAGCCCTGAGTGTTCTGAGGGGTTCCCACCACTGCGGGACTCTTCGGAGTCGAATGCAATGGCTTTTTAGGACTTTTGCTACAAATATAATGAATGTATAAGTAATCAAATCTATGGCACCATTTCAATGACTCACTTCTTTTTGGCTTTAGACTTCTCGTCATCCGTTTCCCAACTCTCGGCGCTTTCATACACACTATAATCGGAATCGTAGTCCATATCACTGTCTCCCCACAAATCGTCCGAATCCTGAAAAGTATTTTTTTTAAAAAAGTTAAATAGTTTTTAGGCTTAGGATATACTCAAAGATCCATTCAATACTCACATAATCTCCGACAACAAACAAGTTCTGCGGACTAACGAGAGACGTCTGTCCGTTCAGCCAAATGCATCTCAACATACCGTCGGTCGTGAGGTCGAGCACCTGACCGGTCCGGGAGGTGGGGTCGCAGTGCTCCTCGTTTAGCGCCAGTATCCTTACGACACAAACGCCGGGCCGAAAGTTGAAGTCCGGGTGATCTTTGATGTCGTAAACGCTGAGCTCTTGTTGAGCGACAAACTGAGGTGCGGTAGAGCCGGGCGGCGCCGACAGCCAATTAACGGTCGCCGTGCGCGACGTGTAGTCACACGTTTGGATCACTCCGTAGTCGAAAGACTGGGAAATGTCTTTATTCTCGACCACATAATCGCCGGGAAAGAAGTCGTGATTATCGATACTGTGGACCGGGTATAGAGAAACGGACGCCACGTCCGACTCCACGTCCGAGTGCTGCCACACGACAGACACCCGAGTATTTGTGGCCATTATCTCGATAGGAACGCGAGCGCCGGCACTTGTATTGATAGGCAACGAGTAAGGCGTCTTCCGGTGCGAAGGCAACAGTTTCTTGGATTTCACTTTTCGTAATGACAGCGAGAATTGGTTTTTGCGTTTCTTTCCCTTCCTTTTCTTATTGCTGTTGTCTTCTAACGAAGACATCGACAGACTATCACTCTTTGACCAGAAAGTGGTGTTCGCGTTATCATTGGACGCGAAACTGGTTTCGTTATCTGATTGGCGACAGACCTCATCGCTGGCCGATAAGCTGTCTTTGCTCTTGACTTCAGTCAACCATTTCATGGACTCCTTTGACTCCCAATTAGTGAAACTAATGACAGAATCGGTCTCTTTGATGGTGTAATAGCACTGATGGCCTATTTGTGCCGAACACTTGCGGAAGTGGTTCACGCATTTGATTCTCGAAATGGCTTCACCTCTGATGATATCACCGCTCGGATGAGACATTGCGCTGAAGGAGCTGTTCTGAGACTTATCTTTCATCATATTCTTCAGATTATTACTACCAGTGATTGCATTCATATTTTGCGATTTATTACTCAAACTGTCGTCCGACAGGCAACACATCCAAGTGATGGTCACGTTATCGATGACAATGTCTTCGACGACAACATTGATCTTATAGTTGCGAACCGATTGAGAGCTCATAAAGCGTTTCATTCGTTTCGTTTGTGTAATCCATTTGGCATTCTTGAGGTGATGTTTGGGACCAAATAGCTGTTGCCCGATATAGTAGTCATCGCGACTGAACTCCGTGTCGTTGCTCTCCCTCTGAGTCAAGAGGTCCTCGAACTCACTGATGTCTATGTCATCGATGACCAGCAGTGAGCCGTCGATGCACTTGAGGGTCACCTTAAGGTTCACTTCCTTCACGTAACCGATCCACGAGTCCAGCAAACAGATGGTGTCTTCGCTGATATTCAGCAGCATTTGCATGTCGTTTGTGTCCACGTTTTCGATCACTTTATCGGTTCCCAAGATCTTAATCGCCGTCAATATGCGGATGTCTCTGCAGAAGCCGTGTTCGCCGTTTGGCACCAGTTTATGGCTCAACGGATCCAAGCGTTGGACAACATCTCCGCTGAGAAGCGATCGGTCGTAGAGTTTGGCCTAAAAAACAGGAGACACTGTTTGAGACACAAACCATGGGATCAATTGATGGCAACCTTGGACTCGTTGATGACAACAGTGTTGCCGTTGGGATACAAAGCGATTTTGGCGAACCCGGGCCTCACTCGACGCCATTTGGACCCCGAGGTCGAGCCCTGAGCGTCGGTACTGTCGTCGTCGTCATCGCCGGAATCGCTGTCTTCAGAGTCGGACGCGTTCTCCGACGACATCACCACAAGACCGAAGACCAGTCGTCCCGTCGACGAACATCTCTTCACCACAACGTCTTCGTCGAAATACTCGCACAAAGCCTCGCGTTTGGCGGACATCGCTAATCAATGGCGCTCTCGATGGCTATCTCTCTATCTCAAGATCTCTGCGCAAATGATGGTATAAATGGTAACAACGAATAAAACTATAGATAAATACAAATAAATATATAATAAATTTATAACTAATGAATGCTTTGAATGACTAATGAATGACTGAATGAGAGAATCAGTGGTGAAATGAACGCGAATTCTGTTTGAATGACGGATACATTCAGTCAATCATATGTTTCGCTGAGTGTATCGTATATACCGGTGCGACATCTCATGCCATCGCATGCTATCACTGCCCCTAAGAATTGTATGAATTATGACAATGAGTGATAAACTGTGAACTAGCACATATTTGTATGATTTTTACTGATTATTTGAGTTTTTAATAAATTCTCGCAAAGTTGTAAAAGAGTTTATTAATTATTACACACAGATGTTAATTTAAGTAGTATAATTAAATAGTGGTATTAAAATGGGGGAATATTATATTACAGAATAGTACCAGTGTGGTTTTTAAAAGAATATTGACTGCACTGTACTGTCTGTAATGAAAGTTTGATGATATGTTAGGAAATGCTTGCACTTTAGTTGGGAGTTGTTTGAAATATGCTATATTTGGGTGAGAATTACAAATACAGTAGTTTGTCGTAAAACTATAATATAAACTATATTATACAGTATAGTAAATAAAATAATTGACAATAATATACAGAATATACAGAATTCACTGCTCATAGAGTGAGCGACACTTACGAGCCTTCACTAGACTAGTCACAAACTGTATCATCTCATAATTATTATACTCTTAACCCTGCTACAGATTTAATTTTATACTAGTTTATATTTTAAAGTTATCTTGGTTGCATTGTATAAGAACTCTAAACAATTATTGTTTAAAATTGATCGTATAAAAAAGTTTTACTCAGTTGTACGCCATAAGCATTAAATTTAATTTTGGTTTCTGGGTTAATATAAATAGAATTCTTATAAGTTATCAAATTATTATAAAATGCAATGACATACAATATTTTCAAAATTGATTATTAATAATACTGTTATAATTTCTGTTTAATATGGGTTTGTACAAATATCAACAGAATTAGCTAAATTCTTACTTCAATTCTTATGGTAAATATAAAAATAAGTTTAATATAAAATATTTTTAATTAATATACTAGTCTAGACTTTTTTATTTTAATAGAAATATGGTATAAACAAAATTGTAGAAAATATAAAGTAAAAATTTAATTAATACAGTAATGAATTCATAGTACAGTACAGAATATAGGGTATAGAATCAACAGAATCTGTAGTCATTTGTATAGATATACAAAAAAAATTGTTTGCGTTTACAATAAATTTAAGATCAATAAGAAATACAGTATATGATACAAATTGACTTTCAGATTCTGTATTCTGTATGTATTCTATATTCTATATTCTATAGGTATTCATCGATTTTAGAGATTTCTTTTTTAATCACGACTCGTATCATATTCTCGATGTCTTCTGCGATTAAATAATGGCAAACATTGGGGTCGACTCCTGTAGGCTCCGGTGTCTTCGAGCACTGAATGCGGCGAACATACGAACGGATCGCCCGTTAAAGCGCTCCACGCCTTCAGTTTCTTCTTCAAAATTTTAGTCAAATTATTATATTTCATATGAGAGTAGATATTATTAGCTTCGCGTGAGTCGTATTTCAAGTCAAATAACTCGTACTCCTGTCGGTAGTAATATTGTCGCAATGTTTTAAACCAATAAATTGGTAGCGAGTGGTGCGTGCGGTTCAGTATGTATTGAAACGATGGCGAGACGTATAGGTCCTGATCGATGCCGTACGGCGAGTAGTGGTTCACGTTATGGATGAGTTTGTAGCGGTCGGTGCGTATGGAGCGCATCGGGTAATACATTGTCAACTCGTGCCAGTTGTGGCTCCCGTACACCTCCCGACTCCGGTCATACACTTTCTGTTTGTGGTGTTCAATGAATGCATTAATTATTTAGTATTAAATAGAGATAAAATTGTTGTGAAAATAGATTCTTTATAGGGAAACACTGTATTTTAAATAAATGATTGCTGGTCAAATGGATTACATTATACCTATCATATATTATAAAATTAACTGTATGTTATAGAATTGCCTAGCAAATTAACAATTCATTAAGATATTTTATGCCAATATACTAAACTAAAATACTAAAATATTAATTTATGTTAGCTACGCTATGTGTTCACAAATTCATTGATAAATTTTTTACTCTATCAACTTCCTAAATTAACATTGATCCCAATAAAATCAATTGTTTACTGTAAGAACAATACCTGATTTGTAAAGGGAAGTAATGACTTTCCGGTGTAATAGACTTTTTTGTCAAACAATTTGTACTGTGGTAGTGGTATACCAAACCAGTCCAATATTGTAGGCATAATATCCAGTAGACTAACTTGATCTGACACTCTCTAAGATATATTTTGGAAAAATATTATAAAATTAGTTTAAGTATCAAATTTATTGATAATTCAATTTAGTCTGTATGTGCAATGCATTCGCAACTCATACTTTTCAATAGATTTTTCCTAAAGGCCTTAATATAGACAACAATAAAAGGCTAACATGTATATAAATACACTATTATGAATTATAAATATTGTATACAAAAATATGATATTATCATATCGTTTGCGGAGCTATGCATACAAAACTATTTTCATTTATATGAAAATATTTTAAATATTCTTTTGTTGCGCTATTATTATGGCATCAAAAATGGTTTTATATAAATATTACAAATACGGTACAAATATGCCGTAAATTTTATATGCTTTGTGAAAAATGTATTATTATTATTGTGATCAAAGAATTGTATCCAATGTTAATTAAATTAAAAATTAAAGCATCGGAAATTCTTTACATTATTTTGCATTTTATTTTTTTTGTACAGAATTTTGTGTTTATTGTAATTCTAATTTAAATTTATAATAAATAATAATATATAATCACAAGATATGATATAAAAACAAGAAAAATAAATTATTAAAAATAAAATCCAATTTTATATAATTCTAAAAATATATAAGAATTAAGAGTTTTGTATTTGATTTGAATAATAAATAATAATATATAATCACAAGATATGATATAAAAACAAGAAAAATAAATTATTAAAAATAAAATCCAATTTTATATAATTCTAAAAATATATAAGAATTAAGAGTTTTGTATTTGATTTGGGAGCAAGAATTTAATATTGATTTATGTAAATAGAGAATAGAGTAGTAAATACATCTGAGAACTATTCCTAGAATCTCAAACTTAGATCACTTTATATGGACTCAAATATTCCCTAAAAGACTATTTCTGACCCATTTATATTTATACTGATATTATTTATATATGGGGTCGTTCACAAAATAGTGATGGATATTTAAAAATTTATGGCTCAATATCATATAATTTATACATTAATACAGTATACATTTTACAAGATAATTATTTTTGCAGTATTTTATACTTATTTAAGTATTTATTTATACTTATTCAATCATTGTTTATAAACTATTTTTAGTTATAAATTTATTATTATCATTTAATGTAAAACAAATTATATTTTCTATATTTTAATATTTAAAAGGTCATGATATTAAAATAAGTTTTATAATAATAATAATAGCCATGAACTTTGAATTTTATATTTAAATCAATTGCTATTCTTTTACGACAGAATATTGCTGAATGTATTACAAAATGTGTGGTAATGTGTCATTAAATAAATAATAAATAATTTTGTGAAATACATACACTTTGCCATAATTGAGGTTTAACTGGGTTTGAAATAAGAAGCGGTTCTCTAATGCCCGGATCATATAAGTTAGTCCTGCCCATGGGAAAGGGAGGGCCGTTATCTGATGAATAGATAACTAGAGTGTTGTTTAAAAGCCCAAAGCTCTCGAACGTCTTAAGAATGAGTCCAATTCCTGTGGATTCAGTGGTTTTTCAATAACAAAATGATTGTCCAAAATATAATATTGTATAATATAATATTGTCCAATAAAATAAACTACAACTTCACTATAAAGTGCGAAATAACGGAATTAAGTCAAACCCTGATCTAATCGGCTTATAGTCGTGTACTGAGCGCTGATGTCCTCCCTGACAGGCCTACTATTGGGTAAATAATAGGGAACTTGGATCTCGTCGGGCGAGTAGTAAATTGGTTTCCAGTCCGGTATGAAACCCATTCCAGTCTCTCCATTGCCAAACTTTTCGCAAAAGTTGCCAAACTGTGGACTGGTATGTCCGCACCGGTGCGGGTCGTGAAACGCGATGTATAGAAAGAAAGGCCTAATATTTATAAAAATTAAATTAGCCTATATTACATTACAATATAAATTAGGTTAATCGCTATTAATCCTAAATTACTGCCTAAACCCCAGAATATTATCAACTTTAAGTATTATCAAAATGTAAGAATAATTATTTATTAAGGGCCATAGCTAAATCATTAAATAATTAAGTGGGTAATTATGTCTTAAATAAACAAAATTAATCACTCAATAAATGTGAGTTTTCAAAAAATATTTGTTTTTTGTTTTAATTTAAAGAGTCGTTAAAATTATTAACAGCTTTTAGTAGCAATTATATGTAATCTAATTATATGTAGTTTAATTGAATTTTATTTCATTTGTATCTCATTTGGTGTCATTATATCAACTATAATACAATGTAGGGAGTAAATAAAATATTTATATGGCATATAGTACTGAACAGTAATGTCACTTAAATCCTAAATTTAAGAATTTAGGAAATTTAAAATTTTATTTCATATTTTTATATACTTTATAAAAAGAAAGAAATAAAACATACAATAGAAAAGATAAATAAATTGTAGACTTGAATCTTACACGAGTTAATATCATACCCTGATAACTAGACGCTTAATACTGAAGGAAAAAGTAATAATAAGAATAAGTTTGTAAATATATTGTTGTAATTAATTTATTAAACCTAATCTCACAAATTAAAAATTTTACTAAAAATTAATTCGTACAATTTATTTAATTAATACTAAATAACAAATATAGATAAAAGTGAGCAAGGAAAATTAAGTTGACAAAATCAAGTTGAATGCCATGAATTGTAAGAATAAATAAAATAATGTTTAAACAAATACCTGGTATCGGTATCATTGAGGAAAAGGTGGACTAAATCCTTAATACGAGTGATATTTCTTCCGATTTGATTAATAGAGTAATTGTCTTCAGTGTACGAGAAATCAAACTCATAGACGGGTTGGGGGCCGACATGTTTCTTACCAATTATGCCTATAGTCCACACATTATGTGTCATTTCATTAATCTTTTCTGTCGGCGAAACATCATTGCAGACAACAAAGACACGACATACCGGTGCGGATGCCGTTCTTGCCTAAAACGTTGGGCAAACTCTGGACCGAATCAAACGAATTGAAGTGATGTACGGTCTGGTGGAGGCCATACATGCCGTTCTGGTGGGACGGGAGGCCCGATAGGAGCGCCGCCCGACTCGGCGAACACGAACTCACGGATGTGAAGGCATTCTCGAAGATCACGCTTCTGTCAAATGTATGATTGCGTTAATACTTCAAACATCACAGACAATGTGTGGGATGTGTTTCGCGGGAAGTCATAAAAAACATGATACAATATATATAGTGATGGCATTAATGCCGTACCGTTTGGCCAGTGTCTGCAAGTTTGGTGTTTTGCAAATCGAGTTATTATATACAGAGCTCTCGAGACCCGCGTCATCGGCTTTGGGTATTGTGAGACAAAAATCACATTTTGTACTCAAATTATATGGAAAACTGAGATGAGTTTGACTTTCATCTCAAGAATTACACGGAATTTCATTATACGAACCGAAGAAAAAGAGGACATTCCGTGCGGTGTGTGAGCTGTGGGTCAATGCAATGGCTTTTAACACATGAATGCCAATCGTAATGAGAATTATGTTTAGGAGAAAGTTAGCCATTATTTCAACACATTTGTCATTATCACGATTTTGTGTATACAATAATTAGTTGAAAATTGTAGATTTCCTTAAAAGTGATAATTTGTGAGATAGAAAGTGAGGCATAAAACTAGTCAACCACTTGTCTGGCGATTGAGTTGTTTAAAATGGATAAACAGTGTACGGGAATTGAGAAAATATAATACAATATTTAGATAGGATTGTTGGGAATTGAAGTTTTTGTTTGAACTTTAAAACTGACTTATGTTTAACGAACAATTGGCAAACACAGGGCTCTTATTTTATTTATAAATATTATAAATATCTTTATAACAAACTGCTATCGAAAATGAGTTTTTATCAGTTTTCGCTTCAAATGCAGGAAAAACTTGCATTCATTTCCTTTTTCTTTCGCGTTTTCCTTTCGTATTATTAGTCTTACGCCCAGTATTTCTCTATGCCTTTCCATTCCATATCTTATGGTTTTATCTCAACGAAACAAATATATTTTTTTCTTAAACAAAACCTAAGCCCTCGTCTAAAACCGATTTTACTCTATTCTAGGGCTAAATATTTGCCAACAATTCTGAATCTAATTTAGTATTTTTTGCTCAAACTTTTTTAAAGCATTTTAAATACAAAAATATAAAATACTTTTGAATTGAATATAATAAAAAATTTCTTCTTTTTTGTTGTAAAATTAATGTCTATTTTGAGCGAAAGTTAAAAATGTCTTATCGATCGCAATAACAAAGTATTTTAATGTAATTGTATTTAAATAAAAGGTTCAATTCTTGATCTTAAGACATTATTGCTTTTTATTTATCTGTAACTTATGGTCATTTATTTATTATCTATTTAATCTAAATGTATTTATTTAAATAAATTATTGTAATACAAATATAAAGCAAATGCACTAGCGCCCGTATTATAACTAGAGTATAAACTATCAGGTTGTTATGTAATTTATCAATAAACATTTCATTATTCCTTAACATTTTGGTATAGATTTCATATATACTAGGTAAATTTTAATATTTTTAATTTTAATTTACAACCGTCTCAAATAAACTTTACACAAAATACTTAAATTTTAAAGTGGAAATACACTGACTACTTTATAAGTTAGCATTTGTCACATTTATTAGTATTTTCTCATGTAGTCCACTACCTTATACTTTATATTCAATTCATGTTTCTTAATATAGCAGAGAAAACAATGATTGAGATTAGAGTCCAGTCTAGACTGGATTCCCATCCATCCCTTTCCTTAATGAGATTATGTCTTTGAAATAAGGGAATCCCTTATATTAAAATCCCTCTACCCTAATGAATACTAGCGCCATAAATGAGTCCTCACTTTCTAATGTCATAAAGTTTGATTAAAATTAATTAAAATTAGAAAATAAGTATCATGATCCAACTGACCAACCCTTTCTATAAATTTTCTACAATTTTGTACAATATACGGTTCATATTGAATAATGTAAAATGTAACAATTAAAAATATATTACTTTTTATATATGAAATTAATATTTGGGTTTCTATTTTTATAAAACTATATAACTATATGAAACTGAAAGGGTAGGGAATAAAGAAATGTATAAAAGTCGAGACTCTAGTCGTAATGTAACAAGAAATACGAAAAAAATATAACAACGAATGAAATGGAGTTGTAGTCAAAACAATGTCTAATTTTATTCAAACAATGGATTATTTTAGCGAAAGCCTCGCAAATGTAGTCTGAATTCAATTTGAAGTGATTCTGATTGAGTTAACTCAACGTATGAGTTACACTGAAAGCAATAGTGAATTTCAGTCGTATAATGTAAATGCATAATCTAATCCGCAACTAAAATACTGTAGTAATCTTGGTAACCCATTATATAAATCTAAAATTTGTTGAGAATTATGATTTAAGTCTTTCATAGATAACAATCTGGTGATAACTTTTCAAATTATTAAAGTTAAAAAAATCTGGGCAATGCTTTAAATAAGCTCATAAAATTAGTGTAGGTTAGATTTGGAATTTAAAAATAGTGTAATCATTATACTATTTTATAATGGGTTATCAAGATTTTCTAGTTTTAGTTGTAGATTTGATTATCATACCTCTTACTGTATTTATTGGATTTCTCTGTTATTTGTTTATTTCCAAGAAAACACAGACAAAAAATGGTACAGAGTCATATGGTCTGTCATTTAATAGATATCCACTTAAATGAATGGAGAGAGAGAGAGAGAGCGAGTCATTCCTCTCATTTGACTTATTGTTGTAATACTTCTCTAACAAAGAGTTGATAACTAATGAACTAACGATACATTTGAGATCATTTGTGGTGAGCATCCATTCGGCCTTTTATTTCACTTAATCTAATTGATTGGACAGAGATATGCGTTTGTAAGACATCTAAAAGTCATTGTTTAATACAAAGCAAGACCTGAATTATCAAATTATTTTGGCCCTAAATGCGCGGAATTCCAGCCGTATATACAATACTAATAAATACCTACCGTTCCCACCATTTCTTCATTTGATGCCTTCATTTGAAGATAGTTTTCATTCAAATGAAAGACACGATTATTGACGACAAAAGCAAAGCAATCAAATAAAAGTAGACAACATTTTACTTAGATTTGCTGCGAAATAAAATTGTAATTATTTTTATTTTATTTCCAACTTAAATATAAACTTATAGTTTGCATAAAACATATATTTAAGTCATTGGTTTTTAAAATAATATTATACAAAAATTATATATAGATTTTAAAAAATCAAACATTAATTTCATTTAACAAAAACCTTTTGTTTCTGTAAAGAGAAAACTTTTTTAAATTTAATTAATATTTAAATTCTTATTGTGAGTTATTTTGGTTGTTTTTGTTGTTTGTGTGTGTTTTCTGTAATAATAAAACCTTTTAAGGATTAGAATTTTAGCAGAAATTGAATTTATTTCCATAAATGAAATAACAATGAATTAAATTTTGTACTCTATTTTCCTTTCTTAAAAGTTTATGTCAATGGTATACACATAAAAAGGACATGGGTTCAAATGCCTACTGCTGATATCCTAGGTATTTATCGGATGTAACCGTATTTTATTTATGTAGGTATGGTCACAAATAGCAGTTTAATATCGTGTGGTCCTCATATTATTATACTTATAATCATATGTCTGATTTATGTCTCAAATATGTTGTCATTATATATTTATGTAATATTATATTTTATTAAATATAACTTTTATGGATTCTTTCAAATAATTGGATTTTAATAAATTTATTTTTCTTACCAATTCGTTGACATTAAATGAATTTAAAAAATATGTCGCTAAAGGGATTGCTTTTTCTCTGGTAATAATGTTATTGAGATTAGAAATGTATTGAAATTTGGTTGTTTTGATTGCAATCCTATTGATAACCTGTTGCCCCCATTGAGGTCGTGAAAGACGTGTATTGCAATGTTAACTATGATATATACCCAATAAATTCAATCTTATTTCATTTGATTGGAATGGGATTTCAGATATAAATTCAATCCATAGCTCATAGTATGACTCAAAATGAATTTGTATTAAAAACTCAAATATAAAGTGAACTGAAGTTTTTTTTGTTTAATTAAATAAATTCATTTATCAATGTTCCAGAATTTGTTATAAATTCCTACTTTAAGGAATATTTTGATAAATTATAAATCTAGTTACTTTATGTGTGGGAAATCCTATTTGACTTTAAGTTTATCTACTCATAAAATACAGTATAATTTAAGGGATGTTTTTGGTGAAGTTAGGGAAAGGTATCTAACAAATGTCAATGTTAAACATAGAAATGATAGTATTCCTATACTTTGCTGGTAATGCTATCTCGAAAAAGCCTACAGTGGGAGGGGGTGTAGGAAATGGTCATTTAGTGGTACCGTTCAGTCTTATCAGTTTCAGATCAAAAGTATCTATTAATTGAATGACATTTAGGTTTACAAAACAATTCAAACACTTATCTGTAAAATGGCAAAAAAGTTATAAACACTATTAATATCGTATATCAGTATTTTTGTATGATAATTTAGTCCATAGCACAGAATATTGAAAATACAAAATGTTTTGCAAATAATCTGACATTGATTTAATAAATTTGAAAATACATTTTGATTATAACAGGAATGAATGTATATATAGAGAGGAATGTTGTCATCAGATGGTTGGGAATATTGTTAAGAATTGATTGATTTTTTATGCACCAGTTTTTGTTGTAATGCTTTGATTTCATTCATAAATCCAATATTTTACATAACATTTAAATTATTAAAAACTGCTTTCAAATTGTCATTTTGAGAGAAAAGCATATATTCTGTATATATATGTTTACCATTGAATGTTGTTTAATATAATCGATAAAAGTATAGTATATTATAAGAAAATATGCCATAAATATGCGACAAAACAACAAATTGTGTACATTATTGTCATATTAAACATTTCATATAAGTTACACACCATTACTGATAATACAATCAAATATATTGTATTATAAATATAATGCATTATCATATGATTCATATCTATTTGACAAATAAATTCATAAAGTATAATACATTTTGAATAGAATTAATTATAATAGCTCACTTAATTTATTTCCCATTATGAATGTCTCAAATATAAAGTGGTTTTTTTTGAAAATGGTGTTTAATTTCTTGTCGGTAGCCTATGATTGATAGCCAGACGGCACACAGAATTTGAAACCAATCACTCAAATAGTTATTTTTGGTCAGTTGTGTATTGACATACAGTTAAATCGACTGAATGGCATACTGTTCACTACACCTGTGGTACGCTATTTTTAAACCGCATAAGTGCCTCAAACCTATGGCAATGAGCACTTCCTATTGCTCACTACCGGAATGCCTACCGATGTATGAATATGAATGAGTGAATTCCGTATACTATTCTCTCGCCTGAACTTATATGCTGTACAATATTTGCCTAATATTTATTCATTATGATGTGAATAATTAACACATATTACTGTATTATTTATAAATGTCTGAGTTTTTGAGATAATAGGACCCATTGGTTGGGGGGTTAAGAGCTTACGTTATGAGCGAGAATAGGATACCATAGCTGTAGTGAACAGTATATGCCATACCAATAAAGAAATCCATTAAATTACAAGAATATCATATATAATAAATGTTATATTCAATAAAACAGTTATGTGTTTTGAATTTTTAGGTCATTTTTCTCACAATTTATCAAATTATCACAAAATACGACATTAAATACGAGAATATGATATGAATTATTTAGAAACCACTTTTTCATTAAAAACATAATAGAATTAATAGATAATATTATTATTATTAAATATATATTTAAAACCAAATATTGATATACCAATCGTGACATGAGATCTTCCATCAGAAAAGCGTCAAATGTTTAGTAACTTTCCCTCAAATAAAACAATATATTTATATATATTTATGTCGATATACTATATATAACAGAGAATAATATATAATAGTTAATAAAATTTGAAACTTTGTTAACAATTTGAATATAATGAACGACAATTATATAATTGACTATTAGATGAATGTGTGTTTTGTATGGTTGATATCGGGGGTGTAATGACAGCATTATTGGTCCTTATTATCGATTTGAATCAGTTTTGTGGCAACTGTTGCATCACTCACTACTCCATTCAATCCATTCACAAATATGTCTGAGTCGGCAATACATGTCTTATTTCTACTACTGTTCCTCCCATTGAATACAGGAATCTCTAAAATAAATGGTAAAAATCGCGTTCAAATCAAATGAAAAGGCACATGAAAATAGGCAACAAAAAATGTTATAGCAGTTTGTATTCAAACTTGTTTTTATGGTTAAGTCACATGTAACTTAATGTGTATATTTTTTGATATGAATTGAATTTTGGGGAAAAATATTTTTCATTTCTGTACCTTTTTTGTAAAAAGTATAAAAATTAATTACAGGAAAACATGAATTCTATTGCATTTAGAAATCGATTGAAAAATTTGGTAAAATATATATAAGGTTTTTAGACACGACTTATAACTCAAGACTTATTTATAAATAAGACTTATTTTGGTAAAAATATAGATATATTCCAATATTCTGTCCAAAAACCAACAAATCCTCAAAAAAAATTCTATAATTCTTTTATCGAAATAAAAAACTAAACATTAAGTACAAGAATATTATGGTAGCGAACAAACAAACACTTAAACTCTGGTGACATAAGGAAAGCCTATGGATAGTGAAAGCACTGGTACTATGAATGGAAATAGACTGGCTGTAATCTAGAGTGTATTTGTTTAGTTTATTAAATAGTAAGGATTGTGTAAAATATTAATCGCGGACACATTAGAGAGAGAGGAAGCTGTCGAAGATCGAGACGTTAACGTTGGCCAAGAACTACATCATGGCGTTGACGAACGTGGTCTGCAGTCATAGGGGAGAGACGTCGCCTTACGAGACGGCCAAGAGAGAGAGAGAGAGAGAGAGAGAGAGAGAGAGATCGGTGCAGACAGACCTTCGTTGTCATTGTTGGTGACGCTGTCGTCGTTGCTGATGGTGTCGTCCGAGGACGAGGTGGAGGCCACACAGGAGGCCGTCTCGTAAGGCGACGTCTCTCCCCTATGACTGCAGACCACGTTCGTCAACGCCATGATGTAGTTCTTGGCCAACGTTAACGTCTCGATCTTCGACAGCTTCCTCTCGAGCCGCACGTGTGGTATGACTTCCCGGAGCCCTTGGAAGGCGTCGTTCAGCGAATGCATTCGCATTCTCTCCCTTTCGTTGCTCTCGAGGCGCCGTAGGTTTCGCTCCCTAGCGCTCACCTCAAGTCATCAGAAAGGAGACAACAATTCACACAATTATTCTCTCATTTAGATTACAATTTGAGTACAATTTTAATGTTTCATTCAATTCCGTGAGTCATGAGAGAGATGTCGGGAACTCAAGAATTCAATGAAATTCTATTAATATTAGAATATTCTGTGTATTCATTGAGAATTGAGTGTAGCTTTCGGTTAGCGAAGTATTATAGAGATAAAAGTTTGGCTTAATTTGTCGACAGAGAACTTGTCGTTTTCAAACATACAATAAATATAATTATTAATAAAAACAATTTATTCAAACAAATAAATTCGTCTATTGTCTAATTTTGCTGAAAGTTTATTTACTTTTGGGTTCGAGAAATCATTTAATTAAATCATTAGTAGGCTTTTAAATAAATAAATAATATTTCGTGTCGTGCTAATTTAGATAAGCGTGAATATAAATTCATAAAATGTCCACAACTAAGACATTTAAGTAATGCATATCAGCTAATTATAGGCATTATATTAGATTATAAATTCAAATGAATATCTAATATTAATAATAAATTAAATTCAATTTTTGTAATGCCTAGTTTTTAAATAGTATCTCATAACCTAGTAAAGTATTACATGCTCGTATATTCATTGATAGTATTACTGTACTGTAAACTGATAAATTTATTATTACTGTAGTCTAAAATTAGTATCAAGTAAGTCGAGTATCAGTACTGTATTAAAATATCGCATTAAACACTAGACTCATTGATATTTAAATTAAAGCTCATATATTGAATGAAATTTACGTTTTACTGAGTTTTGCTCATTGAATGTTAAATCAACATGTCAAAGACTTTGAGCCCACTATTGCATTACTATAACTGTTATATCGTAATCCACGCAAAAAGTAGTGAATTTGTTTAGTTATCTATTGAAATTCACTTTAATTTATTTTCATAATAAATAATTTAAATAATAGAAAATAAATGGTTCTTAATTTAATTACATCAGGAATTCAATGCACTTTTAATTCTCTAACTCAAATATTTTTAAATGAATTTTATGTTTTACTTAATTAGACGTAAAAATATTGAATGTTGTTTAAAAGTTTATACAGAATTATAGCATTGAGTTTGACATTATTTTTCTAGACTTATGAGAATTCTGTGAAATATTATGATTTCTGTGGAAAATTAAATTATTTAAATCTCTATGTATATAATGTATAGATTTGGTTGCGAAAAAAAACTTAATCACATTTAAAACTATTATTCTTTGTCACATCTTATTAACTCAGCAGTGTAAATGATGCGAGCGTTTTTGTAAAACAAAAATAAAAATATGAATTTGTCACCAAATCTGCACACATTTGGACTAAACATAAGCGCGAATAAACTTTTTTTCATTTACTTTGGCGAGAATTTATCTTTTTATATAAATAGTGGTTTATAATTGAAGTGCAAAACTGATTACTTAAGTGTTGTTTAGCGGTACAGACATACATAACAACAAAAACAAAGTACAGTTTCAAGACATACAGCGCTTTTCCGTTTTCGGGTGGCATTTGAAGTCAAATTTTTAAGTCGTTTCGATTTGTTGTCCGATTGACTGATATCGTCGTATATTGAGGACGAGTCGGTCGATTCGTTACCATTGATTGATTGGTCGTCGCCGGCATTCCCGTTGCCGACGCTCTCGATCTTACGTTTGCGCAGAAAATTTAAACTTTGCTAAAAACAATTGATACATAAAAAAGAGAAAGAGTTTAGAGTTTCCAGTCTTTAATCTTAGTTTTGTGTCTCATTTCTCGGGCGAAATAAAAACAATATTTTCTTAAGTTTTTTTTGTAGTTTAGGTTTTATTTTTGTTATTTTGCACTAAAGGCTCACTAATTCTCACCTGAATTAACGATTTCTGTTCCCTCCAAATGGAAACCGATTCAAATGTATTGTCATTACGGAGTGCTCGCAGATTAGATAAACTCTTGGACTTCATCTCTCTTTTCCACTCGTAGTGGTAGTCGTCGTCGTCTCCTCCTCTTGTTTTAGGCGACAATTTTTGTGTCCGATATGTAATTTATTTAACGCTAATATGCAGCGAAAACTTGTGTCTCTCACTCCGCGCCGTCAAAGTTATGGCTTTAAAAGTGTGCAAATGTAGTCAATTAAGTAAATTATTGGCGAAATTTGCTTGAATTAAATATATGTATATTTATAGAGCGCAGGCATTAATGTGTTGTATTAAGACATAGACATTAGGATAACCAGTGATAGTAAGCCGAAAGGGATCTCATGATTCAAAATGTATTTCAAACTTATTGTGAAAATATTTCGTACCACAAATCAATACGGGTTTTTAATCATGATTTTTTGGTTAGAAAATTATATGATTTTTCAAATTACTTTGTTATTAAGGGCACTAATAAAATAAATAATGTTTATTAACTTTATATTAATATCAATCCCGAGATGTATATTTGCGCGCATAATGTGACCCAATGTGTGTCCCTGGTCACTCTTATTAATGTATATTTTAATTGGAAAACGTGAAGTGAATGGATAAGAGAATACTTTAAATGAAAGCATTTGTAATTGTATTAAGTTATATTGCGATAAAAAACATTAATAGCTTTAAATCATAGAATTGATTAAAATGGTAGAAATAACCTATTTCAAATAGGTAATGATCTTAATTGCCAACACATTATCATTTGGCACCTGAACTCTCAAACCTTATCGCAATAAATACGAGCGAAAACCCCTGAAACTTAATTTTCCACTAAAAACAACAAATAATACACTATTTTTGATTAAATCGATTCAAGTGTTTAGATACTAGTCTACATTATAGACTATATTAGACTTATAGAGCTTATGGAGTTGCGAAAGGCATCGCGAGGCATACCATTCTCAACGAAATATTCCGAAAAGTTTCTAAATTATTAAATTACACAAAAATAAATGTCAATTAAAATCTCAATTCCTTATGTATTGACGTCATTGAGTTTTAGTGATATAAACCGCTGTATTAGCATTATATCCGAGTTATTTATGCGCTAAACAACACACAAACATATCGCAAATAATACTTTTTGGTCACTTTTAGCATATTTGAGATTTTTACGCTAAAAATAGGAATTTTGTTTTTAAAAATTGTTTCCACAATAACAGGTGTATCATAGATGTGTTTATTTATTTATAATATAGATACAGTATACTATTTCGGTGTATAAATTGTGTTATGAAAGTTTTCAGCAGAATTTATATTTTAATTACAAATGTTACTACTTTTAATGAATTTAATAACACTTATTTCGGCGACAATTATCTCTAAACACAAAATATTGGCTGAACTTAAAGGCATCGCCCGGATCTTAGGGCCAGCGCTGATGTGTTTTTGCTATTAGTATAATTGGCGTGAATTTATCTTTTATACTCATTAACACATTTGTTAATTTATTTTCACGTGAAATATTATTTTTCCATTGAATCCCCTTTTCTTTTATCAGTGCTTTTAATTTATTAGATAACTTAGACACGGATTTTCTCGAAAGACTTAATAAGACTAATACTAATTTATTTATAATCGTAGAGATATTTATAAATTAATTTTCAATTCATAAACTTTTCGCTAAACCCACACTAAAACACATCAAATGTGTATCGAAAGTGAAATCTTTAAACAAATATATACCGTATTATGTATTATTTAGTAAGTATTTGATATATCACTATAAACACACAGCAAAGTGCAGTTAAACTTATAACTCCATATTATTTATCTATTAATTATAGATAAATTTAAAAATACTTCTCAGAACTCAAACACTACTGATTATGTTCAGGTGAACTCAATGTTTCATTTTTGTACTGTATATGAAAAACCCGGTGTTGTGTTGATATAATATAAATACAACTCAAACAGCATTTGAGAGATGATATAACTTTTGAAACAACTTTAGATAAGCTTTCAGTTAATATCAAATATATGTTTAGAGTAAATGGTTTTCTCTCGAAAACAAAATTCTCGTAAAATGTCTAAAAAATTAATCCTTTAATAGAAATAATTTTTATAAAAATATATCTAAATTACAAAATAAATCAGATTATAAAGTTTTTTTATATAAAGTGCATTAAATTTATATTGTATATTCTGTCGTGGAGTAAAAATGTATACAATATTTATGCTAGCAAAAAAATATAATCAATTATTTGTATGGGAGACACACGGTATCAGTGTCTAGTATACAGAATAAGTCAAATTCCTAACGTAAAGCTCAACTATTCTCACATATTATTCGGTATTTTTAGATTCAGAAACAAATATATATTTCGATTAATTTCACTCAAATATACGGCTATAAGAAGCCAAATGTTATTTTATACGCCAATATTACCAATGATTTGTTGATTATATTTAGATTACGCTCATTGGAGAGCCAATCGCTAAAACACTTTTGGATTATTATTAGCACAGAATCCTTGCCAATACAATCTCTCCACCAATTTTTGACAATATTTACCCACTTTTTTCATATAAACTGTGATCTGAGAGCATGTTATTGGGATTACACTATCGAAACCTTAGTAGTAGTAGTCGCTTGATAAATATAGTACACATCAGATTATATTTGATTAAATGAACCGAAATGTGTGCTCACATTTAGTCCCTATAATGTATGGTAATAGCGAGGGGTATGGTATGGTATGGTATGGCACACAGCACTTTATATAACAACGATAAAATATATTGGAAATTAGTGTCAATGTATATAAATTAATATTAATTTCGATTTCATTTTTCGTGACATTTATTTGCTTTAGTCTTAATTTTCATATACTCTCGTCTGGTATATGAGATTCTGTACGTATTGAAAAAATAAATATTTTATTTTCACTTTACATTAAAGTTATGTAAACATAATTTTCAATAATCTCATATTGTACTAAATATTATATTTTTTTATCCCTTTTGTAACCAATAGACACTCGGCTCTCATAAAAAAGTAACACAATTACTGATAAGCAGCTAATTATTGGGAAGCGACTCATCAAAAAGACTTAGTATGCCATTAGATATATTAATGTTATGAATGATTATAATTATGACTATAATGAATTGGTTGACAAAAATTTAAAGCCATTTTTAATTAAAAATAGCAGAGAAAAAGGTCGCGACTGTAGTTAATGGTGACTGAAAGCGCGTGGGAAGTGTGGGCCGAGACATAAGGAATCGCTTATTTGAGAAATGCGTTGAAATCAAAGACAAAATAAATTATTAACTATCGATTGCCTCGAATGCGAGGCTCATTGTGAGCACATTATTTCAAATCCCATAATAATCTCTAAATAGTGTCAATATTATCATTTCCATTCAGTTCAATACTTTTATTCAGACTACATAATAAACTCTAAAAATAATAATAATAATAATAATACGGTAATCTCTATCGACACTTTTTTCGTAAATATTTTTGGACTTTAAACAGTTTACTGGTATTCTGTATGAAAGTGAAAATATTTATTAATCCTTTTTGTGCTCCATTCTTATGTTAATATAATTCATTAATGTATATTTTTTGTTTATTTTTTTAATTGATTTATATATACGATACTTATTTCGAGAGAGAAATCCTTAATAAGTCGTTATAAATATTGATATATTTCTTATGTATTAATACGATAAGTACCGATAGATTAGGAAAATATCATATATACAAGTTTTTGGGGTTTAAATGTCGCTTATATTGTATAATCCATAGGAATATAAGAGCAATAATTTTAATTAAAACAGAGATCCCCCAGAATTGAAGCTCAAAATATAAGTCTAATAAAATTATATCTGGTTATCAAATAAATAATTACTGTATAGTATGGCAGTAATGCGATATAAATAAATACAGTATGAATACCATTGCATTTTTATGGTCATTATTAATATGCATTCGTTTGACATTTTCATTAGCGATGAAATACAACGCTTTTCAATGAGATTCTCGATTCAAATATTTATTGTTCGCTTAATTTTTTAATTCATGCAAAATATTATTATATATTTAGTATTGTCGCATTCATTTTTAATTAATATCTAATTTGAATGATAAGTTTCGCAATAAATTAGAAAATTTAGTCGCCAATTTGTAGGTACAGTATATTTTATGTATATTGAATATTGAATATTTATGTCATAATGCATTAAACATGAAAATTCTTAAGTTAAAGTTATATTTAATATTTTATATAAAATTGAAAAAAATCAAATATTATACCTGAAATAAGTCCATTATAAATCCAATTAGCATTTATTATATGTATTTATAGCTTATTTTCAAATAAGTATAAAACTTCACAACACATTAATATTAATTAAATGATTTTTTTACAGAATAATCATATATTTAGTCAATTACTCGGATAAGAAAATTGCATACATTTGTGGCAAAAATTTAATTTTAAGAAAATATTTTACAGAATCGTCTCATTTAGGAGATTATGGTTGACGGGGAGTATAGATAGCGTGGAGAATGAGATTAGGGTTTTGTTTTATTTGCCTGTCTTAAATACAGTTTAACCCTCAACATTGGCTTAACGTTGATATAATATACAGTTGATTGTCAGTGAATTGTCGTTTATCACATAACAAAAACAGATTTTTTTTGTCAACTATTTTACTTTAAAATGTACTCTCATTTTACATTGTATATGCACTGGTTGTAGTTTATTGTTTTAGACAAAAATTTGTCAAAAATACTTAATTCTCTGCATTAAAATCAGTTTTCATTTTTCATAGTTACGAGTCGATTCTGTTTAATTAATATGTTTTCACTGGTTGTGTGCTTTTTTAATCGGAATATATTTATAATAAATGATAATATTTTGATAATTTCCTATAATAATAGATTGTATACATTCAGTGCAACACCTGTTTCTGTACTTGGATTTTGAAATATAGTTATAAAATGAATTATCATATTAAATGTTATGTAAAAATGCTCATTTTGAACACATGATTTCAATGTCATTAAGAAATCTTTACTTTTAATACTATACACATTATATACATTAAATATTTATCAAATTAAATACAAATAATCTTTAAATAGTATTATTTTTAAATTCTTTAATTTGTAAATTAATTATAAACTTCCTGTAAACTATAAATACACGGAATAAAACTTTTTAAATGATTGGCTAGTTTTAATATTATTAATTAGATAATTTTTATAATAATCTGTTTATTATGATGGAGATTCTGCGAGAGATAACACATATTTAGTATATTTTGATAAACATTTAATTCAATTTAGTCACCACTCTGTTATTCATACATTAATTCAGTAATGCATTTTAAATCTGTTTCCAAAAAAAGTATTACAGTATATATAAAAATTGTCTAATAGAAATAATTAATAATACACGCAAAAATGTTTTGCTTAATTTTGGACAAATTTCATATATACATAAAATTAATTGTTTTAATTTTTAAGCCACAAACAGATGGGATTGTATTGATATAATTAATTACATTATACACCGAATGCTTTCGTCATCAAATGGCAGGAAAAATGGCAAAAATAAAACAATAATTTCTAATTTATTGCGACAATCATAAGAATATCAAATAAGCAAATAATAATGAGACAAAGAAAATAATTAAATTCACAATACTTTTGCAAACGAAAGGCAACGCAAAGTTTATGGAGTGTCTCGCAAATGGACTCATAATATATTGGGAGGAGAAAAAGTTTGGCGATTGTCTCAAAAACACAGCATTTAGTGGTCTTATCAGCGAATATAAAAATAATATTAATATTAAAGTAAAGGCAACGAAATGAAGAGCATATGGTTTTTATTTGATTACGTCGTCTACCACTCAAATATAAAGCCATTTCTGCATTGTATAGCTACGGCTAAACACATAACGCCGGGGCCTTTTGGGTTTGCACACTAAAAATATTATGCAAAACTGTATAACCGTTTTGTGTTGACTTATGATATTTTATGTGACAACAAATGCATATTCTTGTCACTGGCATAGAGTTGCCATTCTTATCAATTTTAATGTAATTCATAGACTTATATGTCATTGCGTTTTACATATATTATATT